TCGCCAGCTGATTGGCGAAATTTGGACGCGACAGCAGTCCTCATCGCCCGCCCATCGCCAAAGCTGCCACGAGGGCCAGAAACACTGCTGCTGGCCGCCACATACTGCCTGCCGCTGTGGAAAGCCTACTGGAGCGAGGTGCGTTGCTGCCAGCAGCGCTCGGAAACCTGCTGGGTTGGCCCTCTGGGTGCCATCGCTGCTTTGGGCCAGCTGCTACGGTTCGGAATGACGATCCATGCTGAAGCAGCTCCTGGTGCCACTGCTCTGCGCTGCAGGCACGCGCTCGCGTCTCCTTTGCGCGCGCTCGCAGCCGCGTGGCGCAGACGGGCTGGGTGGACAGCTGGTCCCCGCTCTTCTTCACTCTGCCAGCGATGCTGCAGGTGGGGCGTATGCAGCACACTACTTTCTTGGGGTGGGGCCAGGCCGTGTGTGGCTGCAGGGCAGACCCGCAGCCGCGGCATATCGAACGTGTCAAAGTGAAGGGCCGCATCCCCACTCCCTGCCTCCCCTCCAGGTCATTTCGCTCTGGAGCTCCTGGCGCTGAGCACCAGCCACAGCTCTCAAGATGTCCCGTCCCACCACAATGCCACCACAATGCCACAAGTCCGCCGCTCCAGTTGTTTTACTGGCGACTGCTCAAATCATCAATCTTTCGTTCTGAGTGCCAACCTATTGCCAGCGCACTGCCATCATGATAGCTGATCAGCACTTGCAGGCCAACACTCTGCACTGGCTTGCCATCCAGGGCTGATCAGCTCTTTCTGTACGCCCGCCTACACTCTGCTCCGCCATCAACTTGCGAGTGCTCGTGTGGACGGCTTAGCGCGCTCGCTTTTTCTTTGCCTTCTTCTTTTTGCCGCCACACCAAATAAATAACAAGCATCCGGCAAGCTGCTGTGATCATGTGACAACTTCCTTGCAATAATGTAACCGCCTTCCTGACGAATGCCCGCGGCTAGTCGCACGTGCTGCTCCAGCTGCGTCCATCTGCCAGCTCCCCGCTGCGCATCGCCGCCGCCGCCGCTGGCTCCCCGCCGTGCACCAGCCCCAGCCCCGGGGACGGGCTACAGCTGTAGAGCGCCAGCTCAGCCTCCGGCTGTCGCCAACGCAGGGGCCGGCAGGCGGGCACGCCGCTGGCGGACCGCTCCTGCGGCTTGCACCCTGCAGCTACCAGGCCAGAAAGCAGCAACAAGAGTCGGAGTTGGCTGCTGCCAGCTGTCTCAGGCTCTAAATGTCCATGCCAACCACCAGGGCATGGCAGCAGCAAGGCGCACCGTCGTCTGCATCATCAAGGAACCAGAAGCCTGAGGCAGCCAGCACTTCCCGTTTGCTGACAGGAGCGCCGCCGGCTGTGCATTTGTTGGCATGCAGAATCAACACTGCAAGCGGGGGGGGGGGGCGGCAGCATAACATGATCTAGCTGCGGCTTCCCAAGAGGGTCAACCAGCTCAGCTCAAAGCTGAGCAGCGTGGAGCGGCGGGCTGGGAGTCAGGGGGTCACCTGACCAGTCGCAGGGGTCCAGCCGGGGCACCCAAGCCTCGCTGCCGGTTGCACACAAGCGCTGCGTGTAGGCAAAGTGGCTGGGCAGGTAGGCTCGCAGCACCGCCACGTCCTCCCTCGTGCCCTGCCCTGTTAGCTGCAAGGTGGGCAGCACGACAACATGTCTGTGGCACAATGGATGAACAACACGTCTGTGGTGCAATGGGTGACGTGGGAGCTGTGCTGGACTGATCGCAGCTGCCCACGGCAGCCAGGACTCACGTTGCGTGCTGCATCAAAGCAGGCGCACAGCGAGGAGCAGGAGACGAAGCTGTCGGTTTCCAGCAGCGGCAGCCCGTCCTGCTCCGACAGCCCCTGCTCAATCATCTCTGGAGCTGAGGCATTCCACGCCGCGGCAAAGGCGAGGGACGCCGGGGTAGGCAGCAGCACAAAGTGTCCTGAGTTGGCTGCAAGCAGGGGGAGCAGAGGGCAGCGGCAGGCAGCATTTCAGGGACCTGCGTTTGGTCAAACAACGCTAACAGGAAATAAGACAAGGCACCGCTTGCCCTGCCTGGCTCCTCCAGCTGCCATGCTCCATCCGCCTGCGTCTGGTTGATGAAGGCGAGGTAGGAGTCCCACACTGGCTTGGCTGAGTATGCCACGTCAGCATCTGCAGGGCCGGCTGTCGGGGCGGCGTGTCACAGACAGCCCATACGCATGGCACCACCGCAGCCCTTCGCCCAGCAGCCAGCGCGGCATTGCCGCAGCCGACCCAGCCAGCAGCCCGAACCTGCCACCATCACCGCATAGCCCTGCTCCAGCGCTCGCAGCAGCGCCGAGGGCTTGAGCCAGTTGACGGCGAGGAAAGCGCGCTCGCCGTGCCGAGCCACAGCCTCTGCACATTCAGATGTGTGCATGCCACACCTGAGTCCTGTAGCCTCCCAGTTGCACTAAGCAGCACCAGCCCAACACAGGGGAGGTGAGCGGGCACCTCCACCCCGGCCCACCGTGGCTGGGCAGCGGCTCCACCAGCATGTCGGTCACATCAGCGCAGGGCAGGTTGAGGTCGGTGCAGGCCTCCAGGTCCTCGGCAGTCCAGGTGAGGGCGACGTAGTTGCGCACGCCGCCGTGCTTGACTAAGGAATAGACTGCGAATGGCATGGCGCGTGTGAGCACCGCCTCGGCATGGCGGCTGGGTTCTGCTGCAGGCCCAAAGCTCCCCCGTTGTTCAATTGCTGCTTGCATGTGCCCCTTACTCGAGTTCTGCGCCATCACAGCGTATGCCTTGCTGAACAGAAGGAGGGCGATGGCCTTGTCGTGGCCGGCCACGGGGGCAGAGCGCAGCGCCAGCAGCTCGTCAAAGCCATGCACACCGGCATAGGGCAGCCCCTGGCTGCGGGCGGGCAGCAACCAGGGCGCTGCCTCAAACTCTCTGGCTAGGAAACGATTGAAGGGAGTTTTCCAGCTCTTGCGGCGTCCCTTGTTGGCCTGGAGGGAGTGTTGAGGATTGGCCTGGAGGGAGGGGCAGGAGGCCAGCCTCAGCTCACATGGCAATCGATCAGCCTGGCCGAAGGCCGCATGCCCCACCTGAATCCACTCATATGCCGACTGCCTCGGGGCGGAGGGCATCTGTGGAGGCGCGCCTGCAAGGGAGCGGCAGCATGGCACAGCGGCACGCAGCCATCACTGCTCCTCGTCGTGGCCGGGTGCGGTGCGCAACATCGCTGGCAGTGCTGCAGTACCCACCAGTGGCCTGTGCAGTCTGCGGCACCTCATCCTCGGTGCCAGGCAGCCCATCGTCACCGCCGGGCAAGTCGGCGAACGGCGCGCCGCCAAACAGTGATCTGCGGCAGGATTGCTCAGCGTCTGGAGGCGGCTGCCGCGGCCTTGTAGGAGCGCATTCATTGGACGAGCGTGTCAGCGTGGCCGGGCACCCACTTGTTCCTCCTGACGGTGGGACGGGCCAGCACTACCACAAGCAGCAGCACACCACTTGCTGTTAACAGAATGAGGAGCGCCTTCCTCTGCGCCTGCTCCATTCTGCGCCTCCTTCGCATCCCAAGGCATAGGTGAAAGAGAGAGCAGGGCATGTGAGCAGCACTGGGTTCTGGGAGCTCTCAACCCGGCCGCCGCCACGTCACCGGGGTGCAGCACAACTCTCCACAAATTGCCGTTCAGCGACTGGATGACTCTCACAATTTAAATCGTGTTCTGTGCTAGCACTTCTTGTCCTTTATCAAGTCAAAGAGCTCTTCTGCGGCCTTGCCTCTGACCCCAGCCCGTGCAACTGCTCCCGCCGCCGGCTCCCCGCCATGCACCAGCCCCAGATCGAAGGAGCGGCAGCGATAGTGCCCCGCCTCGGTCTGCGGTAGTCGCCAGCGCAGGGGCTGGCAGGCGGGCACGCCGCTGGCTGAGCCCGGCTGCGGCTTGCACCCTGCGCACCAGGGGAGTGCAGCGGGCACGTGGGTTGCTTCCAGCAAGAGTCATGCTAAACAGAGCAAAACGCAGGCATGGCGGAGCAAACCAACTGGGTGGCCATCAACGCACCCTTTTCGTCGTCTACAAACCAGAAGCCGGCCGCACGCAGCACGCTCTGCTTCACCGCCGCCTCGGCCTCGCAGATGATGTGTAGGTACAGCACTGCACACGGCAGCGCGTGCACACACAAGGAAGGGAGGTGCAGCGGCTCAGCTGTGGCCCACGGCATGGGCAGATCTGCAGACATGAGCGCCTGAGCAGCGAGGGGGCGGCCAGCGCCAGGCATGCGGGGCCTCCACCCAACCCCGATGCCCCACCCGCATCTCCCACCAGCCGCACCTGCCCAGTCGCAGGGGTCGATGCGGGGCACCCACTCTGGGCTGCCAATGGTGCACCAGTTCGGGGAGTAGGCGAAGTGGCTGGGCAGGTAGGTGCGGAACGCCGCCACCTTGCCGCGCTCGCCACGCGCGGTCAGCTGCATGCCAGCCGGGCGCAGCGTGCATGCTCGGGGAGGGGCTGGGGCGGACGGCCCCCTGGTCGGCAGAGCGGCGCAGCCTTGGGCGAACAATGGCGGTGCACACAGGACAGCCAAGCCAGCAGCCGGCTGCGCCCTTCCGGCGAGCGCCTCACGTTGTACGCGGCGCGGAAGCAGCGGCAGAGGGTGTTGCACCGCAGGTAGTGCCTGCCCTCAAGCAGCGGCAGCGCCTTCTGGTCCGTCAGCTTCTCCTTCATCATCTCCGCCGCCGACGCGTTCCACGCCGCGGCAAAGGCGAGAGACGCCGGGGTGGGCAGCAGCACAAAGTGGCCGGTGTTGGCTGCAGCCGGGGGGTTGTGAGGAGCAGGAGAAGATAGGGGGAATGCGGAGTCGGTTGGAAGCAAGGTGTGCAGCGCCCAGGCATGGCATTCCAGACCAGAGGCGGGGTTCAGTGGAGAGGGGGTGGGCAGGCGGCAGCATGGCACCGCTGGTGCCGTCCAGGCGGCTCACATGCCGGCTTCTCCTCCAGCCAGGCCCCGTCTGAGTTGGAGGCCTGGGTGAAGGCCAGGTAGCTCTCCCACAGCGGCTTGACGGCATACGCAATGTCCACGTCTGCAGCAGGCAGGGCGCAAAGAAAGGTGCATCAGCACGAGCGCACCTGCGAACAAATCGGCTGCTCCCGGCAAAGAACAGCAGCGGCCGCAGCAGTAGCAGGGTGGCAGGGCGTCCTGTGAAGTACCGGTTGCAAGCAACTGAAACGCAACCGCCGCCCCGCCCCCACCTGCCACCATGACGGAATGGCCGAGTCGCAGAGCGCGCAGCACCACCGCCGGCTTGAGCCAAGACATGAGCAGGAAATTGTGCTCCCGCTCGCTGCCCTTCTTCCCTGGCTCTGCGGCAGGTGGCCAGGCGGGCAGTACTGAGCCCCCGGTGGACCCACGCCACCACAACTGCTGACAGCTGCAAGCTAGTTGAAACGCCACAGTACCAGGGGACCCCCAGGGCAATGCGCTGCACCAGGCTCACTCAGGGGCTCCACCAGCATGTCGGCCACATCACCGCAGGGCAGGTTGAGGTCGGCGCAGGCCTCCAGGTCCTCGGCAGTCCAGGTGAGGGCGATGTGGTTGCTCACGCCGCCGTGCTTGACCAGCGAGTAGACTGCCAAGAGGGTTGGATTGGCGTGGCGAGCGGGAAGCAGGCAGATGAGCCGAAACGAAATTGCTGGCAGCTGCAGGTTGCTGACCAGGGCAGCAGCTGCTGGGCGGACCACTCACTGCTGTTTTGTGCCATCACCGCCCACGCCTTGCTGAACAGCAGCAGCGTGATGCTCTTCTTCAAGCTGCCCACGGGCCGCGACCGCAGCGCCAGAAGCTTCTCAAAGCTGTGGAGGTTGGCATAGGGCAGCTGTGGCGTGCGGGCAGGCAGCAGCCAGGGCGCGGCCTCAAACTCTTCCAGCAGCCCGTGGTCACCCTTCAGCAGACCGGGGTTCTGTTGCAGCCGCTTGTAGGATGCCTGGCTGGGCAGCGCCATTACCTGGCCAGGAATGGGACCCTGCCCTGCAACCAGCAACACCGTGGCAAGCAAGGCGGGGTCCTGGCGTGCCAAATGGCAGCACCTCTGTCACTGCACAGGAACCTGGCACCCTCAGACAACATGTCACTGATGCTGGCTCGGGCAGCAGCAGCTCCCCGCACCTTTTGCTGGCATCGAGGGAGCGGGGGGAGCCTGGTGTGCGCCGCCCGCACGCTGGGAAGCCGGGCCGCCAGGCCGCCGCTCCAGCACTGCTGGGGCGGGGTCCCACCTATTGAAAAGCACACCGGAACCGAGATGTGAAGGCGCCAAGGCAGCAGGGCAGTAAATTCGCCCAAGCAAAGGTACCCCGCCGGAGGGGTTAGCAGCGGCGCTCACCCGGAGACCAAGCTGGACCAAGCGCTGGCCGCCATCAAGCCCAGCGCGAAGCCCGTGATCAGCACCAGGCCTGGCGGGGCTTGGGCGGGGGCGGCAGGGCATGCAGCAGCATTTGCGCCGCTGCCTAGCCCATAGGCTGCTTGCTGAGATTGCCGGGGATGCCACCATCGACCGATAGGACCTGTCTGCTTTGCATGCTGTGGTGGCGGCGCCGCCCGCTGACCCGCCTTCTGCTAGCGATTTGGTGCATTCCGCTATGGCACATCATTGTACTAACAGCAGAAGCGCAGTCGATCAGGGCGCCGAAACGGCACCCAGGGTGTCCAAAAGATGGTATAAAAGATGAAAAGAATGCTGAATACGAGATCAGTTAGCAAGCAGCAGTTATTAGTCGTTTCACAGCGGCACCCCCGTCCGCTCCCGGTCACCGCCTGGCCCCAGGCCGCAGGTGCTGCACGCCGGGCTGCTCTGGCCAGCACTCCTTGTCGCGCGACGCAAACAGCAGCCGCATGGCGTCCTCGCCAGCCAGCCCTGCCCGCAGCGCCGCCACCGCCACCGGCATCTTGCCATGCACCAGCCCCAAGTCGAACGAGGGGCAGCTGTACAGCTTCAGCTCGGCCTCTGGCTGCCGCCAGTGCAGCGGGTGGCAGACGGGAACCTGGCTGGCCGAGCCCGTGCGGGGTGTGCAGCCTGCAGGCAACAGAGGGCAGGCGCAGCATGGCAAACAGCCAGACAGCAGGGTCAGCAGGCGCCAGGCAACGGATCCTGCATCACATCAACTGCATTCCCTCCATGGAGAGTCCTCAAGGAAGCAGGCCCCAGCCATTCCGCTGTCCCTAACCCCGCTGTGCCTCACCCTCGCTGTCAATGAACCAGAAGCCCGACCGTTGAATGATTGCCTGCTTGAGGGCCGCGCCACCAGCACAGATAGGGTGCATGAAGAGCACTGCAGGCGCGCAAGTAGAGGGGAGGGAGTTAGGGAGGCACCACGTGGCCCTGGAGCCCGCTCGGCTGCGCTGCCTGTGTGCCACCGCTGCCCAGGCATTCTCGCGTCTCCCCCTGGCTGCCCACGCACCCGACCAGTCGCAGGGGTCGACGTCGGGCACCCACTCGGTGCTGCCCACGGTGCAGCCGCTCTGGGTGTACATGAAGAAGCCGGGGAAGTAGGCCGCAAACACGGCCACCTGCTCCCGCCGCTCCTCCTCCAGCAGCTGCAGGTGAGTAACACAAGGCGGCACCGACGCGGGGTCAGGCAGTGTAGCAGGCTAATGGCGGCACGAGAAGATAGCATGCCACGCGCAGCGGTATGCGACGGCAGCATGAGCGGTTGCAGGGGCGGGCAGGCCAGCCCATCCCAGTGCCACCCACCTGGAACTTCTGCTTGTAGCACATGCAGGGCGTGCGGCACGTCACAAAGTGGCTGCCCTCAAACTGCGGCAGCGCCTTTTGGTCCGCCACCATGGCCTTGGTGTTCTCCGCAGCAGACGCATTCCAGGCCTCCATGAAGCGCAGCGCAGCGGGCGTGGGCAGCACTGCAAAGTGGCCAGAGTTGACTGCAGGGAGAGAGAGGGAGGGGGCAGCATGGGGTAACGCTGGGCAAGCTCAGGGGCCCGGCCACCAGCAGCAGGCCAGCAACCCAGCCTGCCTCAAAGCTCTCAATCTGGTCAGTGGGGCTTACGTGGCATCTCTGCCTGCCATGCGCCGTCCACCTCGTTGCGATACATATACTCAAGATAGCTGTCCCACACAGGCTTGACGGCATACGACACATCCGTGTCTGCAGAGCAGACGGTTGGGTGGGTGGTGAGGGGTGCTGTTTGTGAGAAGCAGGCTGGCATGGGCAGCTGGTCAGCCCATCAGCACGGGAATGGCTGCCTCGGCAGCGTGCCGGCCCTGCAGCTGGTTCCCGCTCGGCAGTGCGGCAGCAGAGAAGCCTTACCTGCAGACAGCACGACATAGCCCTGGCGCAGGGCACGCAGCACCACCGCGGGCTTGATCCAGGACATGACGATGAAATCGTGCTGGAGGGGCTTGGTGGAGGCGACTGTGGTGGTACGGGAGGCGAGGGCAGGGTGCATGCTTGATGTAAGTGGCGCTTTGGAGCAGGCACCCACTGGCCTGCCACGCATGTGTCATGCAAGCACCAGCCACAGCATGCACACGTGCGCTGCCAGGCAGGCGTCCTTGCCCAGCGCTGCCCAGGACTGGCCACTCACACAGGGGCTCCACCAGCATGTCTGCGGCATACACGCAGGGCAGGTTGAGGTCCAGGCAGGCCTCGAAGTCTTGCTCGAACCAGGTGATGGCCATGTAGTTGCGCACGCCGCCATGCTTGACCAGAGAGTAGACTGCGAGAGGGGAGGGGAGGAGGCGCGGCGCGGCATGGTCGTCCAGGATATGCCACAGCGCATGTCGGCAACCAGAGCCCCTGCGTGTGCTGTGGTTGCAGCCCAATGCGCCAGTCTGCGGTTGGCACTCCCACCCTCAGCTGCTGCTGCTGCTGCTGTTGCTGCTGCTGCCGCTGCCTCCTCACTCGAGTTCTGCGCCATCACAGCGTACGCCTTGCTGAACAGGAGGAGGGCGATGGCCTTGTCGTGGCCGGCCACGGGGGCAGAGCGCAGCGCCAGCAGCTCGTCAAAGCCATGCACGCCGGCATATGGCAGCAGCGGCGTGCGGGTGGGCAGCAGCCAGGGCGTCGCCTCAAACTCTTCAAGCATCCCGCGGTCCGTCTCCAGCAGCTGTAGATTGGCCTGCAGAAAGGACAAGGTAAGGGAGGCAGCAGCATGCACGGCCCTCGGCAGAGGGACACAGCACGGCAATAGCACCAGCCCTCCATTGGACCAGCCCCACCTGACCCACCTGCATTGCGTAGAACATGGAGCGGCTGGGAGTGCCCATTGGCATGCTGTAGGCATGCCCAGATGCTGCACAGCAGGACAGACAACGTCCAGAGTTGGGGCACTTACTGTGCTTTGAAGGGGAGCAGGGCAGGCAATGGTCGCAGCAGCGGTGGTACTACTAGCTAGCATATGTGCGGCAAGGGCGGTCAAGCCGGCTGCTGCAATTCGACGCAGCAGACCAGCACTACTGACGCAGACACGTCATCGAAGTTAAGAGGCACAATAGGCAGCACAGTTTGCTGGCAACAGGGCAACAGTGGCGCCCGCAAGTCGCACCTGCCGCCAGTGCCATGCCCTCGCCGCCGCCATGCCTCCTTGCTGCCTCGCGGCCATATCGCCTGCCGCCTCTGCTAGCTCGCTCCCTGTGGATGCACAAACACGGCGGCCAGTGAGCGACAGGCAGCCCGCAAGTAGATGCCTGCAAGATGCGTGGGTAGATCCCTTGGTCGCGCTCCGGCCTGAGAGCTCACCCTGCCCTCCAGAGATCCAGGTGCACGCTGGCGACGAGCAACACCAGCAGACAGCAGGTTGCAGCCGCTAGCTGGCGCGTGGTGGGCCATGGGCGGTGCCCCTCGTCGAAGAACCGCTTCTCCACCATCCCGATGAGCAGCAGCAAGAGCAATAACCGCAATTGGAGTCGCTGGACCGCGCTGACGGCCTGCGCTTTGCCAGAACGCCGGCTTCGATGCCCGGCGGCAGTACACACACGTACTGCGCAGTATTCCCCTGCCTGCCTCTCATGCACATGTGCCCAGCAATGTAGAACCTAAATAAATCCTGCACTAGTACTGGGCCAGGGGACCTGCACACTAGGGAGCTGTCTGCATTGGGGGCAGCAGGCGAGGCCAACGGCCTGCCCGCCCGTTGCGTCCGTGTCAACGCGGTTCTCCTCGCCCCTGTTTCCCTGTGGCTCCCTCTCCCATCCAACAAAGCCACAGCGAGACTGTGAGTTACAGCATGCGCATCAGGCCACGAATGAACAGCTGCTGACTGGCGGCCGCAAGGCTGCAGGCGGGCGGCTGAGCTACTCTATATGTGCCGCCATCACCGCGCCAGCGCATGCTCGCTGGCTCACTGGCGGGGAGGGCGCTGCTGGAAGCCCTGCTGGAAGCCGCCAGGCTTCTGGAAGTCACCGCCGCCGCCGCGGCCAACCTACGGGAGGGCCAAGAGGCAGGTGCCTTGTCGATGAGCATGGAGCATAGCAGCCAGGCGGCGCTCCGTTTTTTGTGTCGGCCTGCCAGTGCGGCCGACAAGGAGAACGAGGCAGCCTGCGCACATCACGCTGCTGACCGCCCGTGCTCCAGCTGCCCATGCTCGGCTGCCTGCCGCATGCAGCGGCGCCCACCGCCTATTCCAACCCGCCCTGCTGCACCACCACGCCAGCCACATCCTGCAAACATATCCCCACCTCCCTACACGGCCGCCATCCCTCCCCTCCTCCCGCACCTGCTGCACGGTGATGCCGGGCAGGCCGGCCATGTTCATGCCGCGCAGCATGTCCATCGTGTCCTTGTCCACCTCAATGGCGTCGGTGTTGATGGCAGACTCATCGGGGATGAAGTCCATGCGGCGCTCCCGCTCCTCCTCCTGCAGGGCACACAAGAGGACCGGGGCGGGACGGCGCAGGGGGATGGGTGGGGCATGAAAACGACAGGACCAGAGAGAGGGGGGGAGGAGAGGAGGGCAGACATAGGGACGGAGGGCAGTAGGGATTGGGCAGCGCGCGCGGCCGCATGATGGCAGCGACAGCGGCAGCATGATTGCTGTGTGGTAGCTGCATTGCCAGCTAGGGCCGCTGCTACAGTTGCTCTTGAGGCTGGCCACCCATGCCCGCTGCAGTCCGGCTGCGTGCTGCAGGCTGCCATGCCGCAGCGAACTGGTCGCAACAAACAGGCGCATCTTCCACAGATTGTGTGCTGCGCTGCTTGGCAAGATGCAGACAGTGCGCCAGCTGGCTCTGCTGCGGCACTGGCCTGCTGCTGTGCATGTCTGCAGCACCACGGGCATGCTGTGCCTGGCTGGCTCGGCATGTGTGTCACAGCTGCCTTCAGCCGCAAAGCTGTCGCACACGGGCCGGGTGCCTGCTCATTGCCCTCGTGCAGCTTTGCCCTGCCTATGCTGCCACAGCGCCAATCATGGGGCTCCAGAGGCTGCAGCTGGACATGAATTTGCCCCCATTCCCCCCGCCTGCCCACAGGCAGTTACTGCCAATATGTTGCTATGCGTCGCCTGCCCAACAGCCGGCGCTGCCAACTCTCTCGCTTCACAGCTGGGTCGCATCTGCTGCACCTGTCGCTGCACCATGTCTGCTGCGAGCCTGCCACTGCCGCTGTCTTCAGCACCAGGCTGTGCTACCAACGAAAGTCTCGCAACATGCGCTGCATGAACCAATGTGCGCCGCATGCTGCATAGGCCCCAGCTACTGCTCCAACTGTTCATTTCCATTCCTCTCCTCCCCTTCTGCCAGCTGTGCTGTAAAACCTTGCTGCCGCAGCATCGTGTCGCAGCCGAACAAGGCAGCGGCAGCAGCAGCAACAAGACAGCAGAAACAAGACAGCGGCACGTGGCGGGGGGCTGCGAACAACAGCGGCAGCGCACCTGCAGCTTCAGCGAGATGCCGCGCACGGGCCCGCGCTGGATGCGCTTCATCAGATGCTGCAACAGGCGCCAGCAGCAGCAGCAGCCAGCAGTCAGCAGGTGGGGCCAGGAGCTCGCGCCGCTCCCGCCGCCTCCGCCACGTGCCCGCCTCGGGCGCGCTGGCACTGTCCGGCCGTCCCCCGCCGCCCCCAGCCCACCGTGGTGAAGCCAGCAATCTTGTTGCGCAGGCGCTTGGACTGGATGATCGCCACCTCCTCGCAGATGCGCTTGTTGGTGTCGAAGTCCAGAGTCAGCCTCTGGTAGTACTTCTCAATGATGACCCTGCGGATGGCAAGCGACATGTGAGGCCCCGGGGGCAGCCAGAGGCTGGGAGCAGCGGGACAGGCGAGCATGGCAGCCCACCTGGAGGCCTTCTTGACCGTCTTGGTGCGCACGCGACCTGCATACATACAGGACATGCATGAGGCCACAGCAGCGGTGGCAGGCCCTGCAGGCGACCCCCTCCAGCATGCCCATCGCCGCTCGCTCCCTCTGCTCACCCATGGTGCCTGCCCTGCGAGGGAGTAACACACAGAGCCGGTCGCCGCAAAGAGGCCGAGCCTGGCGTGCTGCCGGCCTCAAATTCCCCGCCGGGCGCACACTTCGCGCCCTGCCCAGGGTAAACGGTGGGCTCATTCGCGCCGAGCGGGCCGTCTGCAGCTACCGGCAGGCATCTCACAGCTCTCGTAACACTGTTGTTCACCCTCTGAGCCCAGCCCCCGTCCCTCTGGGCCACCGCGCTTGGTGATCACGTCCAAGACTAGAGCTGGCAGCCAGGGCACTCTGTCGCCGTCGATTCGAGGCGACAGGAACACCCTGCAGCCGTCCATGATCCCGCCAGCCGGCGGGGCGCTGTGAGCGGGGGCGGCGCGATGGCAGCGGAAGGCGGCGGACCGCCGGCAGGCGGCAGCGGCGCGCAAGACTGGCTCAAGCTGTCCAGCTTTGATGCCGCCTCCTTCTTCAAGGGGCAGCAGCAGGAGCAGGAGGAGCAGCGCACGCTGCAAGGTGAGGCAGCGGCAGCCGCTGCGTGGTGGGTGTGCCTCGGGCGCGCCTGGTGCGAGTCCCTTCTGGCACCAGCCAGCGGCTCTGATGCCGTCCTCCTGCCGCCGCTCCTTGTGTGCAGGCCAGCAGCTGCAGGCGGCAGCCGACATGCTGCTGCCCTCCAGCAGTGAGGAGGAGAGCAGCAGCGAGTTGTCTGGAGAGGAGGAGGAGGGCCGGGGGCCGGCGGCAGACCGCCGCCGACGGTCTCCCTCAGCGGGAGCCAGCGGCGAGGAAGGCCGCAGCAAGAAGCGAAGGCGGGAGGAACGGCGGCGGCGGGAGGGCAAGGAGGAGAAGCGGCGGCGGCGGGAGAAGCGGGGCAAGGAGAAGCGACGGCACCGCGAGAGCGAGCGGGAGCAGCAGGTGCTGTGGTGCTGCGGTGCCGCCGGTTGCGTTCGGCGAGCACCTCACGCCACACCCTTGCTATGTGCAGCAGGAGCAGGTGCCGCAGCCCAGCCCAGCCTGCATGCATGGCCGGGGAGGCACCTGTCAAGCGCACCACCTCCCTCGCCCTGCCCCCCGCCTGCAGGTGCGGCTAGAGCGGCAGACGGGTGCGGCGCAGCGAGCCTCCCAGGTCAAGGCCTGGGCACCTGCCGGCGCTTCAGCCAAGAAGGAGAAGGCCCAATACTACTTTGACACACGGTGGGGGGCGTGTGGCTGCTGCTGGGGCTGCTGTTGGCTGTGTGGTGCGTTGTGTGTTGTCTGCCGCTGTCCGGGCCCTGGCCTTATGCATTGTAATGAGTGATGCGGTAGGGTGGCTACCTTGCGAGCCCCGGGAGCTTTGCTTGCCACGCTGTGGCCATTCACCTGCTGCGGCGTCTTGGCCATGCTGCCGCAGGGGCGACGCCGCCAACCTGGCGTTTGGCGGGCTGTACCGCATGGATGTGGCGCAGTACCGCCGTTTCGACCCCGCCCACTTTGCCGCCAGCCTGGGCGCCGCGCGCCGCGGCACGGCGTATGGCATCAGGTGGGGACGAGGACGAGCCTGGGCCGGCGGCTGCCGCCGGCATTGCGTCCCATGCCTGGGCAGCCTGCTGATGCAGCCAACTAGAACAGGGGCCTTGCTGCTTCTCGCCGCTGCCTGCCGCAGCGCACACCCATCGAGCCCTGCATGCTGAGGTGCACGTGTTTTTGGCTGCCCCCGCCCCCCCGCCCCCTCGGCGCCCGCAGGTACCTTGCCACAGAGGCAGATGGGCATGCTCAGCATGACCGCGCCAGCCGGTACTTTGGGCCCGCCAGCCTGCGGGCCGAGCGCAGCGCCCGCCTCAAGCGCTGGCGCCGCAGCCTGCCGCAGCCGGCGGCGCAGCAGGCTGGCACGGAGGGCGAGCCCACGCCTGCCGCGCTGCTGGGCTGGCGGGGGCCGCCGCCCGCCTCGGGGCCCGAGGCGCAGCAGCCTCAGCGGCGCCGCATGGATCTTCCCAGCCTCAACTTCTTGCCCCTGCGGGTGGAGGATGCCGAGCAGCAGCGGCAGCAGCCGCCACCCGGGCAGGGCCCGGCCTTCCAGCAGCAGCAGCAGCGGGTGGCCCCCTCGGCGGCAGAGGAGCTGGCTGCTGAGAAGGAGCAGCGACGGCGGCGCGAGGGGGAGACAAATGAGGAGCTGCTGCTGCGGCGCACGCGGGAGTTCAACGAGGCCACCCGCCAGCGCTCCCATGACGTCCAGCTGTGGCTGGAGTTTGCCCACTTCCAGGTGGGGCATGCTTGGCTGGGCTGGGCTGGGGTGGGCTGGGCTGGCGGCAAGGCGAAACCAACAGCAGTGCTGCTGGGGCATGCGGCACGCGAGGCCCTCCCTGGCAGGCCTGCTGGGCCCAGCCATGGTGCGTGCTGCCCCGTCCTTCTGCCCTGCTGTGTGTTTGCATCACCACCTTCTAGATCCATCATGCCCGATTCCCATCGTCCCCGCCACGTCCCTGCAGGATGAGGCGGTGCGGCTGGGCCCGCCACGGCGAGGCGGGGAGCGGGGCGCCGCCGAGAAGAAGATTGCCATTCTGGAAAAGGCGTTGAGCCTGCACCCCGGCTCAGACGAGCTGCTGCTGGCGCTGCTCAAGGCGGTGCGTGGCAGCTTGCCGTGGCCTCTCTCTGCTGTGGTTGGCGCGGCGGCTTGTATGCATGCGTGGGCCCTACCTTGTTGCTTGCTGCCGCGTTGCACCTCGACCTGATGTGGTGTGTCCTCAAGCCCTGGCTGCCGACCGCCCCCTGGCTGTAGGCTGAGGCGGTGTGCGACGATTCCGAGCTGGAGCGGCGCTGGCGCGCCGTGCTGGCGCGCCACTCCGGCAGCCCCCGCCTCTGGCGCGCCTACCTGCACCACAGGTCCGTGCTGTGCCCATGCCTCATCCGCAAGCACTCCATCATTACTGCAACCCTGCTCAGCTGCCACTTCCTTCTGAGTCGGCGCCCGCCTGCTGCGCCTGCTCTGCAGGCGCACCCGGTTCAGCGGCTTCAGCGCTGTGGAGGTGGCTGCCGCCTATGACGACGCCTTTGCCGCGCTACACCGCGAGCACCGCCGGCGTGCGGCCCAGGGTGAGATAAGACAGTGTTTTGGCGGCATGTGGTTTGGGCCAGGAATTGATCCGCATGACAGGACCGTCATTGCTATGTTCCTGCAGGCGCCCCACCCAGCGCGCTGGCGCCGCTAGAGGCCGAGGCGGCGGCGGTCGCGGTGGAGGGCGCGCAGCTGCGTCTGGCGGCGGGCGCCACGGAGCGTGCGGTGGCGGCGCTACAGGTGCTGCTGGAGTTCAACTTTCTGGCGCCTGAGGGTGAGCAGGGTGGAGTAGTTGTGCAAGGCAGGGCAAAAGGGTGAAAAGCAAGGCAGGGTAAAAATGGGGACTTGGCGGAATTGAACCGCCGACCTCTCGCACCCTAAGCGAGAATCATACCACTAGACCAAAGTCCCGAGCCTAGCACAGCAGGGTGAACTGCCCGAATGGTGATTGCATTTCTGCATTTTCGGGCCCTCCAGGTCCGGGGGTTGACTGCAAAATTCCCTCCCCCGGGGCGATTTTTTTGTTTTGAGACGATGCAGCGTGCTGGGGGCCTGCTGGTGTTTGTCCTGCGGCGGCAGGCAGAGATGCACGCTCCTGGAGGCTGCGGTTTCAATCGCGGCGCGTCCCTCACCATGCTCGCGCCCCAAACTCCACACATTCTCGCACCCCCTCCAGGCTGGCCCGAGGACGCGCTGGAGGCGATGTTTGAGGAGTTTTGGCGCAGCGGGGCGCCCATGGCGGGCCAGCCGGGGGCCGCCGGCTGGGCGTCCTGGATCGCCGGGGAGCCCGGCGGCGCCACCACGGCGGCGGCGGCGGCAGAGGGGAGCAAGCGGCGGCGGCAGCGCCGCGAGGAGGCGGCGGAGGAGGAGCGCCGGCAGCAAGAGCAGCAGCAGCAGCAGCAAGGGGCGGCCGAGCAGGGTACATCTTGGTCGGGATGGGAGGAGATGGCACCAGCCATCCGAGCCCGCTTCGGCCATTCACTGCGGATGGAGGAGGGGGCTGGGGAGGAGGCAGAGGGTGCAGCAGCGGTGGCTGGAGAAGACGGGGAGGAGGGCTTGGAGGACGAGGAGGAGGCAGAGGAGGACCAGCCCCCCGAGGAGGAGACGGATGAGCAGCTGCTGGAAAGGTGAGGCCGGGGGCGTGGCGAACAGCTGACAAGCATCTTCCGTTGTTGCTGACAGCGTGGGCAACGCGGTGCCGATGCCAGTGGCAGGCGCACAGTTCTGATGCACCTTTCCGTTGGCAACGCCCGTGTTGTTTCTTACATATTCTGCTCATCGATGTGCAGGCTGGGCATGCATCTGGAGGCAGCGCTGGAGGAGGCATCCACCACCCTTACCCCCCCGCTGCTGGATACCTGGCTGGGCATGGAGCGGCAGCGGCAGGCGGCGCAGTGGCAGCCGCGGCGAGCAGAGGCACCAGCGGCGGCAGGGGATGGTAATGGCAGCGGTGAAGAGGAGGAGGACGACGAGGAGGCAGCGGCTCATCGCACCGTGGCCTGGCGCGATGTGCGCCGCCTGCTCTGGCGCTTTGGTGAGTGGCGGACTCTGCAGGCGGTTCTCAACCCATCGCAAGCTCTTGCCAGCTCACTGCTACTGAGCCTGCAACTCGTGACCGGCTGAACCCCTGGTGCCCGCCTGCAGAATCCGAACCTGCACGGCAGCAGCTGCTGGCCGGCTGCCTGCGTCTGCTGGGCGCGCCGTTGCCTGGTGCGCTGCCCAGCAACAGCCCCGCTGCCTCTGCAGCTGCTGGCGGCGCTGACGAGCTCTGGCAGGCGGCCGCCGCAGCGGGCTGCCACCCAGGCAGGGCCGCCAGCGACGGCGGCAGCAGCACTAGGAGTGGCGGCTGGGTGGCCGAGGTGCTGGTGCAAGGGGACTGGGGCTGGCTGCTGGGCAGCACCAGCAGTAGGAGCAGCGGCAGCGGCGCAAGCCCTGGGGAGCCGCCACCGCCAGGCCTGCGCGAGCATCCCTGGTACCAAGCCGACGGCACCCGGCGTGAGCTGGTGACGCACCTGCTGGCAGCACTGGTGAGGGGGCCTGGCCGCCAGGACGCGGGCGTGGCGGAGGCACTGCTGTCGGTGGCGTGCAGCGGAGCAGCGGCACCTGGCCAGCAGCCAAAGTTTGACTTTGGTCGGGCAAGGGACCTGGCCAGGCAGCTGCTGGCGGAGCAGCGCACCAACCTCACTCTCTGGCAGGCGAGTGGCGCCCGCCTGCCTGCCACCCAGGCCGCCTGCATTGCTGGGCATGGCCGCAGCACAAATGCAGCAACAACCATGTCTCCTGAGCCGGGTCATGCTGCCTTCCATCCTGCGTGCTGGGACTCACCCCGCCCCTCCACATCGCCCTCCTCAATGCAGGCATATGCGCAGCTGGAGGTGGCAGCAGGCAGCACCAAGGCGGCGCGCAAGGTCTACCAGACCTGCTTTGCCACCGTGGGCGCGCCTGGCAGCCTGGCGGCCGCATCCTCGGCGGCGGCGCTGGTGCTGGGCGCGGTGCAGCTGGAGCTTCAGGAGTCGCCCGCAGCTGCCTCGCCCACAGCGCTGCCGTCGCCAGCAGCGGCAGCGCCCAGCTGCATCGCCGGCAGCCTGCTGCGCGCGCTGCTGGGCGCAACGCCTGATGCAGCTGTGACCAGGGCGGCCCGCCAGCTGGCCTGGCTGGGCAGCGGCGGGGCTGTGGCGCTGCCGGGGCCCCCGAGCGCCACTGCCCCGCCGCCACTGAGTCAGGCAGAGGTTGTGGCAGCCAAGCGAGGCTTCCAGGACCATCTGCTGGCACTCATGCAGCAGCAGCAGCTGTTGCAGCAGCAGCAGGCGATAGGCGCCCCAGGCGGCGACAGCAGCCTGCTGACACCTGGCGGCTGCGCGCTGGTCGGGGCGGCGGCGGCCTTGGAGCAGCTGCTCGGGCGGCTGCGTGGGGATGTGGCTGGGGGAGCCAAGGCAGCGCTCACCATTTACGACCAGGTTCTGTCGGCGCTGATGCCCCAGCTACAAAATCAGCAGCAGGTGGCGGCAGCAGGGGGGGCAGCGCAGCTGCCGTGCGACGCCCAGCTGGAGCTGCTGAGCTGGCAGCGGTGCCAGCTGGCTGCCGACGCGGCGCGCGCCGCGCTGCCGTGCGCGCCGCCGCGCGCGGTGCGGGAGGCCCTGCTGCGCGCGCTGAGCCTCTACCCGTCCAGCTCAGCGCTGCTGCAGCTGCTGGTGGCCCACGAGTGCGCGGGGCACACCCTGACGCAGCTGCGCCGGGAGCTGCACGCCATCCTGGAGCGCAGGCCCTCCCCGCAGGTGGGCTGCTGGCCGCAGGCGCAGCCGGGAGCTGCTGGGAGCTGGTTGACGCCCCGCTCACAGTTCAGCATGCTGCCTTCCCTTCCGTCTGCACTTGTCCAGCTTACCAGGCTTGTGCCCGTCATACCTAGCTATCCCTCGACTCGCCCCACCCCCACTCCTGCCTGCTCACCCCCCATCGGTGCCCCACTCCTGACGCACGCTCCCCCACCCACCCCCGCAGCTCTGGCTGGCCATGGTGGCTGTGGAGGTGACCACCCACTCCCCGGGGGCGGTGGTGCAGGCGACCCTGGAGCGTGCTGTGTCGAGCGACAGCGGGCGCGCCTGCCCGCTGCTGTGGCGCTGCTACCTGCGGTACGAAGCGTACCGCGGCCGCCGCGACGCCGCCCGCAGGCTCTTCCTGCGCGCCATCGCCGCCTGCCCCTGGGCCAAGGCGGTGTGGTGCGACGGCCTGGCGCTGCTCAATGGCCACGCGCCGCCAAAGGAGCTGTCGGGTGCGCCAGGTGGCAGCCGCCGGGAGGGATCGTTTGGGGACAAGGGGGAGGGCAGGCTCCTGGCTGGCCGGACAGCTTTTGGGGCTGGCCAGCTTGGTCCCTGCCGTTTGGTGGCGGGGCCAAGCTCATGCGGCCGCAGCCAGCGGCTAGCCATTGCTTGCCTGGATGGTGTGGTGCTCTTGCCATTCCCGCCCGCTGCTGCTGCCCTCTTCTTGACGCCCCGTTGCTGAATTCCTCTGCCTGCTGCCCCGGCTGCAGAGTATGTGGAGGTGATGAAGGACAAGGAGCTGACGCTGCGCACCGACGTGTTTGAGGTGGTGCTGGCGCAGCTGGAGGGCAGCCCCAAGGTGGCGGCGGCGCCGGACAGCGCTCCGTGAGCGCGGGCAGGCGGCGGCGGGCAGGCGCGCTGGGCCTGTTCCGTTTCGTCCGGCCAGTGTCTCCTGTACAATAGGAAGATGATGTCACAGCTGGCAAGTTTGTATTGGCCCATCAATTGAAGAGTGGCAACCAGGAGGCCTGTGCGGTGCGCTGGCGCCGCTCCTGAGCGCGGGGGTCCTGCTGGTGGCCCTCAGCTGTCTGCGTTCCGGCGGGGCGCTTGAAGTGGATGCCGGTATTCACACAACTCCGAAGCCCGATCAGAGGGCCTGTTTGGAGATGGATGTGGCGACTGTCCCGGGCACCTCTTGTCGCGCTCGAGAGGCTAGGCTGGGCCTGAACACCTGCATACCGCACCACCTTTTCCCGTGCTGCTGCGCGGCCACAGTTTGCTGTTTGGCACTGCAGAGGAGCAGCACCCCACCTCCCGCAGTCCGAAAATTGCCTGTCGCCGGCAGCGTTCTCCCAGACTTCCAGCAGGTGACTGGGGCTGCAGGATCCCCTTGCCTCTCACGGGGCTCGCTGCCGGGGCTTGCTGGCGGAGAGCAGGGTGCAGGGTGCTGGTCAGCACTGCTCTCGCCGGGGAACCGCTGCCTGTCAGCTCCTGGCCTGGACAACATGCCCGGCCAGGCAGCTGAGCGGTGCGGGGCCGCCCTGGGGGTGCCTGGCGCTTTGGCGCGCCATGGCGCCCTGACCACGCTTTGGCTGCACGCCTCGCCTGCCCCTCTGCTGCCCTGCCAAGCCTGTTCAACCGATCCACGTTTGTTGCGCGTCGCCCCCTCCTCCCTGCAGCTCCAGAAGGCATAAATGGAGGCCGCAGAGGTTCCTGTTTTTGAAGAACACGCGACGCCCCCGCAACAGGTGCGTGGTGCAGGCGCAGGCCGCTGGTTGAGCATGTGACCAGGGAGGGGATGGCGCCGGCGCGGGTGCCCCAGCAGTGCCCGCCCGTTGTTGTGGCGTTGCCGCGTCCAGGGCCCCTCCCCGTCCTCACCCACAACCTGTCGCCGTGCTGTGCTGCTGTGCCTGCAGGCGGGGGCCGAGGAGGCGGTGGCCGCCCACCAGCCGCCGGTGGGCACGCCGCCCGGCGCAGGCCTGGCGCTGGCGCTGCCGCCGTCGACCGCGGCGGCGGCCGAGGGCGCTGCCGCCGCCGGCGACCCTCCCCGCCGCTGGTCCCTGGACCTCGCCTCCTCCACGCACTCCGACTGGGAGCTGCTCAGCGCGGGCCACGACTCGCACTGCGGCAGCAGCCCCCGCAGCGTCTCCCCGTCCGACGCATACGACAGCGAGGGCGAGGCGGCAGAGGCACGCGCAGAGGCAGAGGCAGAGGCGGGAGCCGAGGCTGCAGCGGAGCACGCAGCTCCCCAGCTGGACGCCGGCTCGACAGCGGAGCTGGGCGAGGCTACCGCTGCCGCGGCCGCAGCCGCAGAGGATGCTTCCGCAGAGCCAGAGGTTGGGCCGGAGGGGGTGCCTACCGCCCAGCTGGTGCTGGCCCCGGCCGCGATGGCCGAGGCGCCTGGCACCGACATCGACAGCCCGCGCTCCAGCTACGAGCGCACCTCCTCCCTCGCCAGCGGCCACGACCTCTACAGCCTCTCCCAGGTGTGTGTGTGGTGTGTGGCAGCGCCGTGGGCGGGCCGCTGGCGGCGGCGGCAGCCCCGAGGCGGAGCCGTGAGGCATCATCAGCGCATGGCTGCCACCTTGGTGTGCCGCCACGCCTGGCTGTGTCCACCCCACGCCCCCTCACCCTGCGCCGCCATCGCGTCCCCTGCTGTCTCTGTCTGCCCCTCTGCAGGATGGCTCAGCCGACAGCCTGACTGAGGATGATGACTACATTGGGGGCATGATGCTGCGGGGAGAGCCCGACCGGCCTGCCGGGGTCGAGGCCGCAGAGCCCGGCGTGCACAGCGGCAGCGAAGACGAGGCACGCGGGCCAGGCGGCGGCGGCGGCGGCGGCAAGCCGCGCCGCGCCGAGCTGCAGCCGCTCGCCTGCGCGCCCGCGGCCGCGCTGGCCGCCGCCGCGCGCGGCGCCTACTGCGCGGCCTCCCGCCACCTGCACGAGCTGGCGGCCAGCGTGAGCGCGGTGCTGGCGGGCATGGTGCCTGCCGCCGCTGACGTGGCGCGCCACGTCATGCGCGGCGTGGCCGACATGGTCGACACGCTGAGGGTGAGCTGGGGCTGGCTGCGTGCCGGCTTGGGACAGATAGGACAAATTAGAGTAGAGCAAGGCAGAGCCTGGCTCCGCCGGCCGCCACGGCATGCATGAATGCGCCGCTCCCAAACCCCTTTGCTGCCCGCGGCACCCGGCCCACACCTGCGTGCCTGCTGCACCCGCCGCGCCCGCCTGCAGGAGCGCATGGCCGCGCTGCCGCAGGGCCTGTCCTCGCTGGCGGCCGCCATGAACCCCGCGGCGGCCGCCGCCGCCGGGCACATGCAGGAGGCCGCGCAGCGCGCGCGCAAGCAGCTGGGCTACCGCAGCATCAACTGGGCCAAGGTGCGGCATGCCGGTACTGCTGCCTGAGGCGCCTGGCCTCCAGCCCCTGCCCGGCGGCCAGCCCCCGCCTGCCTGCTAGCCTCCCTGCCCCGCCGTGGCGTCGTGAATCAAGCCACCGGCAGCAGGCTGTGGCAGGCCTGTGCACGCCAAACCTCGTCCCCTTGTTGCCGCGCCTCGGCTGGCGCAGGTGGCGCTGCTGCTGGGCGTGACGTGCGGCGGGCTGGCGCTGGCGCTGTACCGCTCCCGCACGGAGCAGGCGCGCCTGACGCTGGCGCTGGCGCGGCGCGAGGCAGACCTCAGCCGCCTGGTGCGTCGCGCCGCCTGCCCCGCCAAGCCTCGGCTGCCTGCGCCGCTCCTTCCCGGCTGTTCCGCCGCCCGCTGCCGTCGCTGCCGGCCTTGCGTGGGGCCCCAGGGCTGCGCCAGCACGCCAGCAGCACCACCGCCTCACCGTGCACCCCTTTCTGCCTGCCCTGCCCGCCCGCCTGCCGCAGCTGTCCAAGGTTATGGAGCTGCAGCGCAACATCACCCAGCGCCACCACCCGCTGATTCGCCACGTGGCGGCCTCCCCGCCCACCCCCTTCTGGCCCGCGGTCATCGTGGTGTGAATGCGCTGCCCGCGGGCGGCCATGTGCGGCCAGGTGGATGGGCGCAGCCGCCCTGCTCCCACAGCCGAGCCCCGTGCGCCGGGCTCCCCGCGGCTGCGCCGCGCACGCCGCGCGGCACCACCCAAGCCAGCCGCCGCAATGCAGCCGCACCGCGCTCTGTTTCCACGCCTCGACCAACCCTCGCCCCACCTCTGTGACCAGCCGGGGGCTGCCTGCCTGCCAGGCCAGCTGCACTCGGCAGGCGGCCCAGCTGCCTGGGAGGTGAGCACCAGCCGCTCCCCTCCCTCCCCCAACCCACCCGTCCTGCTCTGACCATGCTTCCAGACCCCCTTTACACCCTGGAACTCGCCACCACAGGCTCCTGCTCCACTCTGCCTCCCCCCCCTGCTTGCTTCCTCCTCTGCCTGCCTCGTCCCCCATCTGCGCTCCTCATTTTTTGCCTGCCCCGCTTGCCAGACGGCTCTCCCCAGCGCGGCGCCGCCCGCCCCAACCTGCTGGCGCGCCGTGCCTTGCCAAACGCAAAGAACACCTACCTAGCTAGTTCTAGACTGCCAGTCTGTACTACCGTAGCTGGGAGCCAGCGCTGCGCAAGCCCATGCAGCCCTGTCGGGTCATTGTCCTCCTCAGCCCCATTTCATTTGACTCTGGGAACACGCAGCTCCCCCCCTCCACGCCCCCCCCTCCCTATTGCAGAGGGCAGCTCCCCGGCCCTGCCCTCGTTTTTAGCCCTTGCCAGTGCTCTGTACCCGGCCCCCCCTGTATGCCTGCGTCGCTAGCTGCGTGGTTGTGTGTTTTGGAGGCGCACACCGTAATGCTCCATGTCCCCTGCGCTCCTCTCCTGTCTCTTCATGTAGCCGCTTTATATGCAACCCTTACCGCCCCTAGCCCCCTTTTTTCTCATGCGGTCTGCCTGCCCCCTGCACGGCTGTGTTATTCCCCTGCCTGCATGCTGTATGCCCTGCCCGCCGCCGTGCATGTTGGTGTCTGCCTGAGGCGGACAGAAGGGAACGTGCGCGTGCGTGCGGGCACCCACAAACCGCCTTGCCTTGCCTGTGGTGCCCTGTACTACACACCCCTGCCCATCGTTGTTGACGCCGGCTGGGCCCACGCCCCGCCAGCACCCTGTAACTGCCCCTTGTTCTCGACGCACCACAGTGCCAGGCGTCACCCTAGGGCGCATGCCAGCGGAGGTCACAGGCGGCGGCGGTCGCAGCTCCTTACGGGGCTGCCCCCTTGGCCGCGGCCGTGCTGGCCGGCGGGGGCCGGAAGCAGCACGACAGCATCCGCTCCAGGCCCAGCTTCTTGCTGACAATCTCCGCCTCGATCGCCTCCACCTCGTCGTCCTCCTTGTCCAGCAGCTCCTTCTGCATGGCTTCCACCTTGGCATCGGCCTCCTGCCGCTGCGCGTGCCGCGCCGCCGCCGCCGCCTGGTCCCGCATCTGCGCGGCCGCCGCCTTGTGCAGGACCTGCGCCAGCTCAGCGTGCTCGGCGTCCTCGGCGATGGCAGCCGGCCCCTTCTTGCCCAGGTACGCCAGGGCGTCGGCATCGCTGCAGGGCAGGGCAGGCAGGAGGCGGCATGCCAGCAATGGGTGGGCCAGACCAGGCAGGCGGCCATGGGGCCTCCAGATTGGTAGGCCAGCCAGCCTGGTGCAGCCATGGCCACAGCCATGCCCTCACCTGCTGAGCAGCAGCTGCGCCGCCGCGCTGTGCCCGTTCCGAGCGGCGCAGTGAAGCGGGGTGCCGTACTGAGATGTGACGTTCACCCATGCGCCGGCATCCAGCAGCACCTGCAGCACGGGTGGCGGGGTGAGATGGCACATCTGAGGGGGAGACTCCTCATGCGGACGTCGAGGAGATGTAGCAAGCCTGCCTGTGTGCCCTCAGCGCCTGATTGTGCCACAGCAGGCAGCCAAGCAGGCAGGCAGGCACTCATTCCACCAGCTCGCCTGCATGCACTCCGTCTGGCCCTGCGCCGCAGCTCGGTGCAGCAGCAGCTCCCGGCTCTGTTGGCCGGGCGCAGGCGCATTGGGGTTGCCGCCCTTTGCCAACCAATCGCGCAGTCCCGACGCGTCACCTGCGCAGTAGGGAGCAAGAGGAGGCATGGTGCGACAGCCTTGCGCCCTTCCCGCCGCTGCCGCGGCCGCCGCTGCCAGGCAGCTGCCTGCCGCGCATTCCTTCCTTCCATGCATCCCAGCCGCACAGGGAGTTCAGCGCTGCACTGGGATTCAGCTTTGGAGCGCACCTCTCCCGGCCATTGCCCACGGGTTGTTCTCCGGCTCAAACTCCTCTTGCACCTCGCTAAAACACAACCCCATGCTTGCTAGCGTGACGCTGCGGTGGGGACCAGGACGCTGCCCTGCTGAACAAAACAACGTTTGTAACCGGGACAGAGCAGCACAACTGGGGGCAGCACAACAGGATGTCTTCAGCACCGAGCTTTGACAGGGCAAGATGAGCAATGCGACATGTACGTACAGATCTCTGGTGTCAGGGCGCCAGCTCAGATCAGAAGTGACCGTCCCCGTTGCAATGTTGAACCATTAACAGGGCCAATGAGCACAGCCCTCATAATGAATTTAGTGTACGACACTGGTAGCGAACACACCAAAACCCGCGCAGAACACAGCAGAAAACCAACGAGGGAGGAAAAGGTTGCAGATCGGCCAGCCAGACAATCGGCCAGGCCGCATAGACCAGGTTTCAGAAGGGGAGGGGGCAGAGGGGGGCAGGCGTCCGCCGCTCCCAGGCAGCGCAGTGCAGCCAGTACAACAGCAGTATTGTAATACACGCGTCGGTCAGCAGCTAGGGGCGGCTCACCACCTCGCAGTCTGCATCGCTGATCCTGCCCTCGCAGCGGGCGCAGAAGGTCTTGAGCACGCAGTGCAGCACAGGCTCCACCCCCAGCTTCTTCCTGATGATGTCCTGCTCAATGTCAGCCACCTCCTCATCCTCCATCGCAGCAATCAGCTTGCCCTTGGCCTCCACAATCGCATCCGCATGCAGGCGCCGCTGCAGCCGCTCCGTCGCCGCCACCTGGTTCTGAACCTGCTCCTGGGCCGCCTGACGCAGCAGCCGGGCCAGCTCCAAGTGCCCCGCCTCCTCGGCAATGGCCGCAGGGATCTTCTTGCCGAGTACAGCCAGCGCATCGGCATCGCTGCGGGGCACAACAGGCACGCAGGCAGAGCCAGGCCGCACGCGGCATCAGAAGGCAGGCTGAGCAGAAGCATTCCGAAATAGCAAAGACCGAGGGCGCCTGACCGGCCAGCGGCCTGCACCAGCTCAGTGAGCGGCTCACCAGCTGAGCAGCAGCTGCGCCGCCTCGACGCGCCCATGCCGCGCGGCGCAGTGGAGAGGGGTGCCGCAGACGGCGACCACATCCACAAACGAGCCCGCACCGATCAGCACCTGCACACCAGGCGTGGCAGCGAGGGGCGAGGGCAGCCACGGGAGATGAGCAATCATGGCACCAGCATGAGCATCTTAGCATCACGCCAGCAATGCCATGTGAATTCCTGGACTCGCTGCAGCAGCAACAGCAGCAACAGCGGGAGCAGCAAGGGCGACGGAGCTTGCCCTCATGCTCTCGATCTGTCCATAGCGCGCCGCTCGGTGCAGCGGCAGCTCCCGACTTTTTAAGTTTGGATCCAATCCGTTAGGGTCACCGCCGCCGTCCAGCCACTCGTGTAGCCCCTTGACATCTCCTGCAATAGACAGGTGACCTGGGGGGATGCATGAGAGCCTCTGTGCACAGCCTCCCTCCGCCCGTGCCGGTGGCGGGGGGGGTCGCCGCCGCCCACCCCGTCCACCAGTGGGCTGAGGCCACAGCCCACGGCCGACACCTCCTGGGCGTCCGACATTCACCACGGCCTGGCTGGGCGCAAAGACACGCGCACCTCTCCCCGCCAAGCTCCATGGATCGGAGTGGGGCCCAAACTCCTCCTTCAGCGCGGAGCTGCACTGCCCCATGCTTGCAGCTTGCGCTCAAGCAAGTTGCAAGCGCGGGAGTGAGAAGCGCAACTACGATGCAGGCCACCTAGGGTTTGCAATCGGCTTGAATTGGCGCAGAGGGGCACAAACAACAAGCAGCGATAGCTTGCTACGGCAACAGCGGCCATGCGCCATGCTGGCCCCTTTTTGCTAGCGGCGCCTAGTCAGCGGTCCGCCGCCATGCCGGTTGATGCCCCTGAGAGCATTGGGTAGCCTCTTCATCTTCGTAGAATCCGCATTCCGACCTCACGCATTTCATCTTGTATAAGCAGAAGTCACATGACAGCGGTTCGTTCCATGGCACCTCCTGCGCCCTTGGTCTGCAGGCAGCAGCCCGTTGCCAAGCCAGCACGTCCAGCAGAGGCCGCTCCTGGCCCCTCCAATGGCCCCCCACCAGTACCCTTGCCCTTGACCTCCCAACATGCGCAGACCTGCCAGCAGCAGGCAATTCAGACAGATGTGGCTGGCAGCGCGCAGCCACACAGCCGCCTGGCAGATGCAGCCCTGCCCATCCAGGTGCTCGACCAGCTCAACTCCCTGCAGCTGCCAGCCGCAGCCAGCACCACCAGCTCGGCCACTTGGCGGCTCTCGCCAACGCCGCTGCAGCTGCTGCACCAGGCGCAGCAGGTGGTGCCTAACCAGAGTGCGCCGCCCGCGGGGCACGCGGCCGCCAGCGCAGTGCCAGAGCCGACGCCGAGCGCAGGGCAGGAGACGCAGCTGGCCTTGGCGGAAGCAGGCGCTGCCACCAGCAGCGACTGGTCGGTGGGGAGTGCAGGAGGCAGGGCCCCGTAGGTGGGCACTTCCCTACCGCATGCAACCTCTGCCAGGCTGGAATGGGCAGGCTGCGCAGTGGGAGTGTAGATAGGCAGACCTGGTCAGCAGGTGGGGAGACCAGCCCATCCCTTGGTGGGAGGCAGGCAAGAGCGGCCCTTTAGGCGAGCCTTCATCTTTGAGGCAGATGAGCTGCGGCATGCAGCTGGATCCCTTCAGCTTTCAGCCACCACTTTCCCATGAGCTCAGCATTTTTAAGTGTACCACCAAAAGGCTTACACAGCAGTTTACAGGGAACAGTCACACTGCCCCAGCGGCGGGGCAGCGGATCTTGGCGACGCACAACATGGAGGGCTGGGGATGCGGCAGCATGCTTGCCGGGTATCGACCGCAGCGAGCGCAAAGCGAAGCAGGGGGGAGTTGGCGGTATCGTACTAGCATAATGAGGACAAAAGGTGAGTAGCGGCAGCAAAGGAGGTCCGCTTTATTGGTGCGTGCTCAAGCAGCGTTGGCGCCGCCTGCGTCCGCCGCCGCCGTGGCCGTGGCGCCCGCTTCGCCTAGGCGGCGCCGTTGGCGTTGCTGCCGGCGGCGGTGGGCGGGACCTCCAGGTGGGCAATCTCATCTGTGTAGGCAGCCTTCTGCCAGGACTTGTCTGCAACAGTATGGTGCACAGCAGAAGGGATGGTTAAATGGGAGGTGAGAGCGCGGCGGGCGGTGACAGGGAGGAGGCAAACGTGCCACACTTCACAGCCAAACCCTTCTATGCTGTTGCCAACACACCTGGGTCGTTCTTGCGGGCGGCGTAGGCGTTGCCTGCGCACCAAGGCAAAGTTGAAGGCAGCGCGTGAGTGGCGGCGGAGCAGGGCCTTGGTGCAGGGGTGCCTGCTCAACTCCCTGCCCCCCCGGCCCAACTTCTCTCACCCGTCTTGCTGAGCAGGTCGAAGCCTGTGACCGGCCCCCAGCGCTTGTTTGGCCCCTGGATGGAGTAGTTGAGCTTGGGGTTGACGAAGTAAGGAATGGAATAACGTGCCCCCTGCAGATGGGAGGGTGCATCATGCTTTTGGACGGCAGCGTCAAGAGGATGTGGAGGCAGGCACATGCTGGTCCCTGCTGTGCCTGCCGCCTCTCACCGTGGGGTCTCCCGCCTTGGGGGCACGCACACGGTGATACGTGGACTTGAACACCCCGTCGGTCCAGCGGGTCAGCCCGTCGCCAATGTTGACCGTCAGGTGGCCGGGCCTGCAGCGAGAGGGAGAGCAGGCAGGTAGGTAGGTGTGGTGGGGGTGGGATGAAATGTGGCAGGTGCCACCCACCCACACTGCCTGCTAAGTGGTCGCCTGGCCGGCTGCCTCACTCGCCGGCGCATGCATGGCCCCGCCTCACTTTGGGTCCAGCGGCGTCCACTCGCGCGCCACGGGCACGTGGTTCCAGATGTTGCCCACATCCTGCGGGCCCCAGACAGGGACAGGCAGGTTTGGCAAGTGGGCGGGCTCAGGCTGGCGCAGAGGCATGCCTGCTTCCGCGCTGGTTGCACGGTAGCGGCACAGGGGGAGGCCTCGGGGCCTGCCCGGCTCGAGCTCGGCATGAGTCTGCCATGCATACTCTTGCTGCACAGTCAGGCAAGCAGGCACGCACCTCAATCAGCGCCAGGTCCTCCACCTCGTTGCCGGGGGCAATTTCCAGGCCCACGGCGTCGTCCCGCTGGAACAGGATGGTCAGCACATCCCTGTGGGAGCAGTGAGGGGCAGGCGGTAGGGGTGAGGCGCCTGGTGCCGGGCGGCAGGCTGGCTGTGTGGCCCAGCTGGCACCACCTGGCACAGCCTGGCAGCTGGCAGCAGCCTAGCATCGGCCCCAGCCCAGCTCACATGTCGGCGTGCGCGTGCAGGCGCGGCGGCACCTTGCCGCCGTCGTTGCGCAGCGCGTCGATCTCAGCCTGGGTGAGCCTGCGGGGACCTCCAGTGAGCAGTGATTGGGCTGTGTTTTGGATGCCGGCCCGGCTGGGGCTCCATGACAGGCGCACAAGCCGGGCAGGCAGGCGCGGAAGGCGTCGAGGTGTGGCCCGGCGGCGGTTGAATGGCGCGGCATGGCGGCGCAGCCCCTTAAGCCCCCCACTCACGGCGGGTAGTAGTTCCAGGCCATGAAGGAAGGGTTCTCGGGGTGGTCCAGCTCAAAGGGCTGCACAGGCGGGGGGCGCAGCGGCAGCAGCAGACCCATCAGCAGCAGCAGCAGCAGCAGCAGCAGTGGGAAGCTGCAGCGGCACGGCAGGCGAGGCAGCCGGAGAGCGGAGGGGCGCTAGACTGCGGCGTGCCCGCGCAGGCTGAGGCTGCCCAGGCTGCTGGTGTTCTGGGCTGCCCGCTCCGTGCGTGTGCTCACGTCGTCGATGCGTGCGGGGTCCCAGCCCAGGCCCAGGAACAGGGCCTTCAGGATCTTGACCGCCACGTCGTGGGTCTTTGCCTGGAAGGCCAGCGCCGTGTTGCGGAAGTCGTCGCCTGCGGCGCAGGGGCGGCGCCGTGGTGGGGCTCGGTGTGGGGCACGGTGGCGTGTGTGTGTGTGTTAAGGGGTCCATTCAGGCAGGCGGGTGGGTCGGCATGTGGGCAGGCAGGGGCAGCTTGGTGGGAGGCGGGTCGTCAAGCGCGCCCCACATTGGCAGCAAGCCCGCCGCCGCTCACCCAGCTTCTCCGGCCACTCCTCTCCCTTGAAGGTCTGAGTCTTGACGTCGTAGCCCAGAGTGCCCCAGCGGCCCACGCTGAACCACTCCCACAGCCGGTTGCCTGCAGCGGCAGATGGGATGTGGCGGGGGGAACACGATGACAAACTTGTGCCAGATGGCGTGGCAGCTGCGGGGTGTGGCGGCGCGAGCAGATGGGGTGTGGCGGCGCGAGCAGCGCTTGGGTCCGCTGGCGCTGAGGAGCCAGCCAGAACCCTGCCCCACTCGACACCCTCCCCCCTCACACACCCACAAACCAGTGTTGCCTCGCCCTTGTCAAGAGCCCTGCTCAACCCCAGCGCCCACCCCGCCCACCTGTCACCGTCTCCAGCTCATCGGGGCCGCGCCAGCCCAGGTAGGTGTCTGGGTTGAAGGGGTAGTGCGCCTTGGTCTCCTTGTCCAGCTCCAGGAAGCTCTTGCCCGTGGCGAACGCGTGGTCGACCTCCTCCTGGGGGATGCCGTGGTCTGCGGCGGCAGGGGGCACCGTCGGCAGCAAGCAGAGGGGTGGGCGAGGGAGATGGGACGTGGGCGGCGGCTCAGCAACCCAAATGCGGGTCGACTGCAAGGGCGGCGGCTCAGCAACCAGTGCGAGACGACTTGCAGGGATCAGTGTGGTAATGCGGGTTAGGCAATGCGGGGTGGCTGGGACAGCACACTTGCGGCCTGCGCTGCCGGCCATGGCCAGATGCTGCCGGGATGGATGGGAGTTGAGCTGGCCTACCATCCCTCTCCCTCCCTCACCGCTGATGTAGAAGAACCCCACGTCTTTGGCCGCTCGATACAGCTGCTGCGCAATCTCCTGCTGCCTCTCCTCGTAGTTGGCGAGACTGATGGTCACCACCTCGCGCGTCATGGTTTTGGACAGGCGACGAGTCGGCAACAGACCCGGCACAGCGGCAAGTAAGATAGCAATGCGCCTGTAGCAGCCCCTGATGACCTAAGCTTTGCTACGTAGTCGGCCTGGCTAATGTTTTGCTGGAAGGTGACAGCAAGGCAAGGAGCTGTACACATCATGTATTGTGCTGGCATTGTGCTGGCACTCCCCGTTGTCGCTTCATTCACGCTGTCGAGACCTCATATGATGCATTACGAGCAACGCGAATAATTTCAGATTGCTCGCGCGAGTAGCCTGGCAACTCTACCCCCCCATCGGCGCCAGCGCCAACCTGGCCGCGGGGGGCGCAGCGAAAACCGGCTCCTCCCAGTTGTCGTTTCACTTACACCGAATGACGGTTCAACATTCCAGCACGATTATCAGCAGAAAAGCTATACGGCGGCTGATTGGGAGCTGGGCGGAGCTGGGCTGCCTCCGGTTCGTGCTGCCACGAGGCGATCAGTTGGGGGCGCTGGCGGCGGTGGTGGGGTCGATGATGCTGGTCACCTGGTGGATGCTGGTCACGGGGAAACTGCACAGTGGGGGGGGGCAGACAGCAACATGAGTCATGCATATGGGCGCCACAGCCAGCGGCGCACCGGCACGACAGATACGCGCAGAGCCAGGTGCTGGGCGAAGCCGCTCACCCGCCGTGGCTGGCGTGCTCCCGGATTGCCTCCTCAGACTCGGCCAAGTATATGCAGAAGGTGCGCCCGTCAGAAACGTAGGAGTGCTGCCACTGCACGAGGCAAGCAGGGGGAGGAGGCGATGTGGGAGCGGCAGCAAGCAAGGGTGCCCTGCATGTGCACGGCGCCAGCTGGCCATGCATGCATGCAAGGCGGCGCCAGCTGGCGCACGTCGGCTGAGGAGGCCAGGCAGCAGCGGCTGTTGCTCCTGGAAGCTCCCTGCCTGCCCCGCTGGGGGCATCTCCTTTGCCTGCTCGCATCCCAAACCACCCACCTGCACCCCATCACAAACAACCCACCTGCACCCGGCCGTGGCCGGCCTTGCCCAGGGCCGAACACGAGGCGGCGCTGATGCTGCCCAGCTCCTGCGGGCTCTTGTCGTGGATGTCGGGGATCTCACGCACAATCACATAGCGCTTCAGAGCTGCAGCAGGAGCCGGCGGGGGCGGTGTGCGGGGTGAGGGGGCGGGGTCAGCGGGCGGGGGCACATGAGACGGCCGCCGCCGCCGCCGCCGCCGCCTGCCTAGCTGGACAGTGGGGTTGCGCGCTGTGCTGCAAGTCTGGGCGTCACAACCAACTCACTGCCGGCCATGGTGAGGAGGTTCAGAGGGCGTGCCAAGGGGCGCGGACAGCTCGGGCAATAGCGCGGGAACACGGTTGGTGGAGCAGGCGCCAGCAATGAACCTAGGAGTCTACAAAGTGCTGGAACAGAGGGGTGGCGTGGCAGGCCTGCTGCCTGCAATACCTGCAAGGTACGTGCAAGCAAACTTCTCTCGCGTGGTTGGCTTTATTTTGGTGGGGACGACCCCTGGAATCCTTCGAATTCTGCCCAATCGGCAGCGAGTCAACTTGCCAAGCCAGCCAGGTGCCCATCCGACACCATTCCTGCCGCATGGCGCCCACAACCATCGCAGTCGTCGGAGCCGGAGTGGCAGGGCTGCAGACAGCCGCCCAGCTGAAGGAAGCAGGTGCGGGAGCTGGGCGGGGGAGCTGGGTGGGCAGCCACCCCACTCCATTTGCCGATGCCATCGGTGTGTGTGCGATGCTCTGCCAACAGTGTGCCAGCCGACTCTACCCCCCCAGCGCCCTCGTGCCTGATCATCCCCCGGCTCATCCCTGAGGCTGTCAAATCGATGCTGCAGGCTACAGCGTCACCGTGTTTGAGAAGAGCGGCGACATCGGCGGCGTGTGGCAAAGCAACTATGCCGGCTACCGCCTGCAGGTGAGGCGTCAGCTTATCAGCAGGCAGGAGATGGGCTGGCCTGGAGACCGGGGCGGCGGCGGGAAGCAGCGCAGCAGGCTTCCTCTGCGCCGCCCCTGCCCACCACCATGCATGCCTGCATGGCTCCATCTGGTCGGGGAAAAAGGCTCTTGCTGGCGGCTGCACGCTGCCCACTGACCCCCCCGTCCCCTGCTGCTTGCCCGGTCGCCCCTGTGGAGCAAGCGCAGGTCCAAAAATGGCACTACGAGATCCCCGGCTTCCCCTGGAACGACGGCGTGAGCCCCGCCCACCCGCGCTACCCGACCGGCCCCGAGGTGCAGGCCTACCTGCAGCGCTACGCGGCAGACGCTGGCCTGCTGCCGCTCATCCGGTTCCACGTCGACGTCAAGGTGCTGCGCCCCGTGGCGGCGGCCGGCAAGGGCGCGGCCGCCGGCGCAGGCGCCCCCGGCTGGGAGGTGGAGTGGACTGACCGCGCAGGGTGAGTGGCGCGGCGGGGGGGTCAGTGCTGGGGGTCATGCTCAGCCCCGCCCTCATCCTCGCTCCACCCCAACCTCTGCTCACCTGCCCAACCTCTCCCCTGCCGTCGTGTTCTGCAGCACCAAGCACAAGCAGGCCTTTGACTATGCGGTCGTCGCCACCGGCCTGTTCAACGAGCCAGAGAGGCCAGAGTGGGCGCAGGGGCTGGCCAGCGCCAAGCCGCCGACCGCCGGGCCCTGGGTGGTGGATGCAAAGGACTTCACCGACGCATCGCTTGCGCAGGTGGGGCCCGGGCTGGGGCTGCGACTGTAGGGCACGGCTCATGCCACGCCATGAGCACCTGCGCGGCAAGCTCCGCAGCTTTCTTGCTTCCTGGGACGTCTGCAGGGGGACTGCACCTGCATCCCCCTCACCTGCCCCTCCGGCCGCTCTGCCCTCTGAGCTGCAGGGCAAGCGAGTGGTGGTGGTGGGCGCGGGCAAGACGGCGCACGACGTGGGGGTGGCGGTGAGCGAGGTGGCCACGTCGGCCACACTGGTGGCTCGCCGCGGAGCGTGGATGGCGCCCCAGAAGGTTCTGGGTGAGTGGCCTGCCGCCGGCTGGCCGCTGCAAGCTGGCTAGGCATTGAAACTGTGGGAGCAGCCAGCTCTTCAGGTGCTGAGGTGGCACAGGGGCACCAGGCCTGCTCCCCTCCCTGCCACCTCCCACCCTGCCGCCCCGCCGCCGCTCGGTGTTGCCCCTCCTCCCCCGCAGGCTTCATCCCATTCGAGTTTGCCAGCTACACCCGCTGGTCCTGGGCCCTGCAGCCAGCCTGGTACTCTGCCGGGCCAATCAAGAAGGGCGCCCACACGCTGTTCCGCCCCATCAAGGCCGCCGCCTGGGGCCTGTTCGGCCTCATCTTCCCCATCCAGACCGGCACGCCCTGTGAGTCGTCGGCGGCGGCAGCCGGCCAGCCTGGCCAGCAGCTTGCCGGCGGCCCTGCCTCGCCAGCAGCATGCCCGCTGCCCTCTGGCAAATGCCCCTCACGTGGCTCCGCTGCGCCCCCGACCCCCGCGCCTGCGCCCCTGCCTGCAGCCGCCATCAAGCCCAAGCAGGGCCTGCTGGAGGGTGTGTACGACACGGTGGGCATGGTGGACTCCCGCCAGCTGTCCAAAGCCTTCAAGTCGGGGCGGCTGGCAGCCAAGGCGGGCCGCGTGAGCGCCGTCACCCCCACCGGCGTCGACCTGGAGGATGGCACGTCACTGGAGGTGCGCACACCTGTGGCACGGGGGGCTGGCTGCATGTGTGCACATGGTGGCGGGGCGTCTGTGTATGTTCTGTGTGCCGCTGTGCAGTGGCATGCTTCATCCGCTGCGCGCGCACAGCTCCCCCACGGCCGGCACGGTGGCGCTGTGTCCCCGCAGGTGGACATCGTGGTGCTGGCGACGGGCTATCGCGCCACCGCGCGCTCCCTGCTGCCCCAGGAGCTGCAGGCGGCTGCAGGGTACAAGGGCGACAGCCAGTGGCTGTACCGGTGAGAGGGCTTGCGGTGCGCTTGTGGTGCTGGTAGTGTGGATGGGGGTGGGAGGGGTCAGCCCTGCGTGCTGCAGAGGCACCCGCACCCGCAGGTGCCGTGCCATGGCTGCCAGCTGCCAGGATGGAGCCACGAGTTTCACTGCGCGCCGACGCGGCAGCACCGACCCGGCCCTCCTCCATGCCTTGTGTGTCGCCGCAGGAATGTGCTGCCCCCCGGCCTCTCCAACCTGGCCTTCATCGGCCAGAACGCCACCTTCCAGCATGTGCTCACCACGGCGCTCCAGGTGGGAGCGGCTGCCGCTGCTGCTGGCTGCTTCTACTGCTTGGTTGGCCACCACGCCAAGCGATTGCTGTGGGAGCTGCGTCTGCAGCGCCCATGTGCCCGCCTGCCTCCTTCCCTGCCTCCTGCAGTCCCGCTGGCTGGCAGATGTGCTCAAGGGCAAGATCCAGGTGCCGCCCGCAGCCGAGCAGCAGAAGGACGTGGAGGCGCAGGAGGTAAACAGGCCAGGCCGCAGCGCTGGCCTGCCTGCTGTCTGCCCAGAGCCATGTCTCGGGCAGTGCCTCCTGCCGGTTGAATGCTGCCACCAGCGAGGAACCGAGTCGCCTCTGCTGTGCCCCGCAGGCCTGGCTGGCCAAGTTTGGCGGCGTGAACCGCACCAACAACTTTGTGTGGGCGCAGCACGGTGAGGGGGGCACGGACGGGGCCTCGCATGTGCACGCCTGGCTCCACGCTCTCCGGCGAGGCCTGGCGCCCCTTGCCGCCTGCCTGTCCCGGTGGCATGAGCCCCCCGGCCCGCCCCCCTGCCTGCTGCAGGCAAGTACCATGACGCGCTGGTGCACGACATCCGCGGCAGCACCGCCGCCTACCCCTGGAACCCGGTGGCAGAGTGGTTTGGGTGGGTGGCTGCGCTGCCTGCCTGCCTGCTTGCCTGCATGTGCCGGGTCACCTGCATTCCCTGGCTGTGGCCGTCCGTTGCCGCCAAGCAGTCGCGGCCAGTTGTATTGCTGCAGCACATCCTCATTGTCCTGTGTTCTGTGTGCTCTACTGCCACAGATACATCAAGAACCAGCGCTACGCGTCGCTGTTCCCTGGCAACCAGGCGCTGCGGGCGGGCCAGAGCAGCGCCAAGGGCAGCGCCGCAGGCATCCCTGTGGCGGCCACCGTGGCCGCCAGCGCATGAGCACATGCGGGGCTGGCTCTCCTCCGGACAAGCGGGACGAAACTCAAACTATGCTATGTCGAAGTGTCTGTGGATTATTCTGTATCTTCTTTTCCCATTGAGACCAACTCTTCAA